TACCTTAAAGATTCTTTATTTGAGAAGCATAGCATCTGCACTAACACACTCGAAGCCAAAAACTGGAATCCCCTCGCCTGAGTACATAGTATCAAAGCACAATTCCCTCCTCCAATTAACTGTCATAAATCACATTCTCCAATTAGTTTGAAATGCAGGCTCTCCCTCCAGTTCTCCAGCCCTCCAATTCTTATCATCTTATTTCATTAACCTTGGTTCTCACACCAAGTCCAATATTATTATGTCTATCCAATCTCTCATGCACATTCCTCCCCCCCCAGCATCATCTAACTCTAAAAGTAAAACATAAAAAGAAAATGGTTGCGTTCCTACTGTTGTCAAAGCAAAAACATCCGATGTTAGCAGCATTGACAATAGTATTGTATATAACTAAAAGGAAAATGACACGAATTTAAGCCATCCCCCTCTAAAAATAAAGAGTAAATAGAAAATTGTTTATAAATCCAAACAAGACAACAAAGTCCTATGCGTTTCTCAGATTTCCTGCCTAGGTTTGCCCTTCTAGAATTGCCAATTCCCAATAAAATCAATTTGGAAAGTATTTCCTCCTACTAAATTTGTATATATGACTCAACTGCAAATGTGTATGCATACATGTAGGTATGTATGTATTTACTTATCAAACTATGTTTATGCATGTATTTATTTATTTAATCAAATTTACAAGGCTGCCCATCTCACAAAAAGTGACTCTGGACGGCGCTCAACAATATCTAAAACAATAAATATATAAAAAAACAATTATTAAAAATATAAAACAAACAGCATTAAAATATAAAAGCCAAGTCTCAGAGCCACTCAGTTATATTTGCCTTTAATTTTTCCCTCTTTCCCTTTCTTGCTTTTGCCTATGTATTTTCGGGGCTTGCCATACTATTGGGGGGAGGGTGCTTGCAGGGGAATTATTATCTTGGAATTGAAACTTGGGAAAACCTGTTGTTGTTTTTTCTGTTTGTAACCAAGAAATTGGATGATAGTCATGTGTACTAAGGTGCAAGGATAAAGGAATATATTTAGGTTTGCAGCAATTTTATTCTAAGTTCAATTGAGTTCTATGTTCTTACTTCCAGATATATAGAGAGAAAACTTCCAGTCTCATCCAGCTCTTTTTATTGCTTTCAATGTTTGCTGCAGACAACCTCGTATTTGTTTCTTGTACATTTGTTTACTTTTAACAATACTTTCCTGTGTATATTTCAGAGAATATAACTTTGATCTTCCCGACTCCATACACACTTAATTTGGGGGAAGAAAAATTGAGTCTAACTTTTGAATAAATATCATACCCAATCCCAATTCATACCATTTTTAGCAGATGAGTGTTTTTGTTCCAGTTTCTCCTGTTATATTATTTCTACTTCATTTTATCATTTACCATCTTGCTGTCAGTTTGGGATATTTTTCAAGTAAAACATGAACACAAAATTTTAACTTACAGTCTGGTTTGTTTGATTGTTGTTGTGTTTTGGTAATAAATCATAGTTCACATATGAATTCAGCCCCTGCCAAAACTTCCTTCCCCACAAATAAATAAATAAATATAACCTGACCAAAATCGGTCATTTTTTCCCCACAATGATGAAAGTATAAGCCTAGAGAAAAACCTGTTCTTCGTTCCAATTCAATTACTTAATATATTATTTAAGAACAAAGAGGACTTCCGGTGGGACGGCGCGCCGATGGCGGCTCTTTTCGGAGCCGTCCGCTTGGGAAGGCGTCAGAGCCAGCATGAACAGCGGTCAGCAGCTGTTCAGCGGCTTGGAACCTTGTGCCCCGGGAGAAGGGGTCGAGGTGAGTATTCCTGGATAGGAGTAGAGTCCCAAAGGCTCTCCCTTTATCTCGGGAGAGCGA